ACCAATCTGTTATCGTTTTGGTGATCTTATAAATAAGCATTGTCTGCAGGCACAGAGGATATTTGGTAACAGATGGACAGAAATCGCGAAGGTGGTTTCAGGCAGGTAATGAAATGTAATGGATTCTCTGTTTTGTCATTGAGTTAGATGCTTTTAATGGTGCTTTAAATCCAAGCTTGTCTGTTTGTGCAGAACTGATAATGCTGTGAAGAATCGGTTCACGACCCTCTGCAAAAAGAGAGCGAAGAACGAGGCATTAGCAAAAGAAAACAGTAATTCATCCGTTAATAGGAGGGTTGTCTTTCCAAGTTGGCTCAACAGTAGTGATAGCATTTCAGAATCTGCAGTGCCCCTTAAGAAGCAAAGGTAAAATTCGTTTAGTGTGCTTCAACTCTATATGATCAATCTCCAGTAAATAACGTTTGGTTTTTGGGGTTTAGGAGGAGTCACATTCCAGACCCCCCTGAAAGTTTTAGCAACGGGGAAAAATCACTCGTGAGTTGTGATGCGACAAATCAGATGCTAAGGTCTCCATTTGCAGTAATAGGTCAAAATCTCTACAGTCCCGGGAGCAATGTATCGAGTCATCAAAATGATGAGGACACCAAAGATTCGCACGCCAATGGTAAATAATCTGAAGCAATGGTTATATAAGTCAGAAAAGTCATTTAGATTATCAACTATTTTATAAGTTCTTTATCTTTTATAATTAACACCGGTTTTGGATCAAGCAGGCTCTAGCAATGAAACCGAAGGAACATTTCTTAAGAAGGATGATCCGAAGATACTTGCATTGATGCAACAAGCGGAACTACTGAGCTCGCTGGCACTCAAAGTCAATTCCGAAAACACAAACCAGAGTCTTGAAAACGCTTGCAAGGTCAGGAAAAAACTAGCGTTCTTGTATGGAGGAATTCAGTGTTATCCACCTTTCTAAAATGACATTATCAACATTGCAGTGCATACATAGTTTCTTTCTCGATAACCCAAAAAATTTCTGATTGCAACAACTTAAAGGCCCTTCAAAGTTGATTATGATTGTATCAATATTATGTTGTATATATGTTGTTGTTTGTTCACATGATGGTGGCTCAATCAGTGGATCTTCTGATACGAAAGGAATCTTTTCAGGTACTTGAAGATTTTCTCAATCATACAAAAGATGGTGATGTGACGAAATGCCAAATTTCTGAGATGGAGATTCAGCTCGAGAATTTTAAGCAATCTGCAAATGAATTAAAAAGCATTAATGAATGCAGTCAACCATCTTGGAGGTATTGTCACATGCAAGCTAAATATGTTACTCGGGAATGTTTGTCCACAATAACGGAAGTGCCTAATATATGGTTTGTGCAGGCAACCTGCTTTATCTGAAGAGTCTGCAGGCAGCTCGGAGTATAGCACTGGATCAACATTACTAGCCCACGGGGTTGGTGATAATAGAGAAAAGAGCGAAGCTGAGCTATGTGCTTTGCATCAGGATATTGAATCGGGATTACAATCAACCCACATTGATGATGAATTTGCAAAAGGAATTTCTGGCAATGCCTCGAATTCTCAAGGTGTGAAAGACTTGTACTTTATGCAAGGCATTTTAAATCGGATTAATACTTCAAGCTTATAAAATTTGTATGTTTCCAGTTGATACGTTCCCAGCTTGTGACAAAGTTAATCCCGTTAATGAGACTATATGTGATTATTCAAATGAAGAATGCTGTTCCCCTATTCAAGTAACCCCGATGTTCAGATCACTAGCAGCAGCTATTCCCAGCCCGAAATTTTCAGAAAGTGTAAGTAACAACCTTCATTGTTTCACTATCTGACCTAAAACTCGATTCAATGCTGACACTTTTTTTTTTTTTTTTTTTTTTTCATTCGTTTTCAGGAGAGACAATTCCTACTAAAAACGCTTGGAATGGAATCTACGTCTCCGAATCCAAGCATCAATCCTTCTCATCCTCCATCGTGCAAGAGGGCCCTCCTCCATAGTTTATGACAAAACTTACCAACCAATCTCATGCATATTCTGTGGGGCTCAACCACCATGACTTTTCGTCTAAAAATTTCAGGCATGTGTAGATTATTTTTTAAGCCAGTTTTCCGTTGGATTGCAGTCATTATGACCTGAGTTTTTACAAAGAGGCCATGAAGATCTGGTCCCAAAGACCACAATCTAGAATGCAATGGAGCATCCTAGTATTTTCAGAAGATCTGATAAGATGGTCTGCATCCTTTCTGAACTTACCAGCCTAATACAGTGTCTAGAGTGTTGTGTTTTTTTTTGGTTGTGTCACATTCTTTTGTGTGTTGTATGGGAGAGTTGGATAGGGCATCCAATAATGTTCCCATAAGGCTTTTTTACGGTATTTATTTGCCAATTGTACAGAATATATAGAATGTAGTTACAGATTGGCACATCGCCATTGATATAGAACATATCAAAAAGAAGAAGAATACATTGATAGAAGAGAGGAGGATCAACATCAACCAGTTGAACTGACCCCCGCTCTCTAGCGTTTTTGCTTCGTGTGCAGAGTTTAGATAATAAGTTTTGTGGTGTTCTTCTGTTTCTCTCATCTTTATGTAACATTTAACTCATACTTATTGGAGTGGAAAATCCAATATTGCCTTTTGTGTGTATATATGTCTCAAAAAGCAAATTACTTAGAGCTGAACAAGATTTGGACTAAAGATGTGTTGTTAGGATCGAACGCTTTACTGGCAAATTTTCATGAGGCAGAGTGTTAGACTTGGCCATTTAGGCCTTTGGCCAACACTCTCCCTAGCCACATAGTGCTGGACTTGGTCCTTTACCGACTTCTGCCCAACCAAATGCACATATGCATGCCCAAAAACCACGAAAGAATAGAAAACGACTCGATCTTGGATACATAGAATAGGAGAAGAGTTGAGATAGAGTTTCTTACACTGTTTTGTAGCTTATCTGTGGCCATGAATTCAGAAACTTCCTTGACAGCACAGCACCTACTGGAGATCTGCAATGGGGTAAGTGTTGTGAGGAACTCTCTCTGTTATTTAAGTTGGTCAGAGGGCAAAAAGTATGATCAATGGCAGAATGCATAAAGTAGGGGAGGGAGGGAACTCTTTGCAAATTAAAGTGTGGAGTATAGTGGCAGTCACTTAGTGAAAAGACTAAATTGTCCCTCATTCCCATTCTCAAGTCTTGAGTCAGAAGGGGGTATTATGGTATATCTACATGTTAGTTGAGAATCCCATCATTTAAAGCAAAACTTTAACATAACACAAGGATTACAGTTTGGGTCCATCTCTCAAATTTGAACTTTTGAGTTTTGAGTTTTGACTGTAACAACAGTTTCAGAACATATCAGTTGACCTTAAACCAAATACATATTTGATTCTAATCTTCACAGTAGTTCATGAGTAATTAGATGCAAGAAATGGTTTGAAATGCATTATTGGTATATAAAAATCATGTGGACTTCCTCTGATCTTCTTTTGCACCATCTATAGATCAGGGTTGCACTCAGATAAGAAGACACTGCAACTATAGATCATAAGAAGATTACTCAGAAATGACCATATCAAACAGACCACTTTTGGTGCCAGGTTCAAGAAAGCCAAGTGCTCAAACCTCTTCTTGTTTGGACCATTTCTCTTTGTTGACCTACCCCATAAACAAGTAAAATTGAAGGATCGGATGTGTTCTATATATAGTATTTGAAGTGCCAAGCTACTAAAAACTTAACTAATAGCCAAAACTGCCTTGTGACCCTAACCAGCAAAGGACCATAAGGAGGTAACTCATCCTAGATTGCCCATATGTCATAGCTAATCGGTTCAAACCAAGAAGACCAATTGACAGTTCCTATGAGGAGTTTGTAATCCTAGTCAAGAAAAGATCACAACGAAATAAACTAACTTTGGCTGTCCATATGTGACTCCATCCTTTTAAATCAAGAAGAACTATAGACACTTCGAAGTCAAATTTAAAAAGTGGAGAGATTTCATTGGATTTGTGAGCTTAAGCTACCATCTTCTTCCAAATATTGCTTATTAAATCATTGGACTATGTCAATGGATGCTTGACGTGAACTGAACGCTAGGGCCGGATTTTGGGCTGTGCAAGCTGGGCTACCGTACAAGGTCCAAAATTTTATAGGGGTCCTAAATTTTAGAGGTCCAATATTTAATTTTACCTAGCTAGTATGGATTAATATCCCGCACCAAGGCGCGCATTGCATTTTGCGCCCTGATGCAAAACGACGTCGTTTCAGATATTTATTTTTTATTTTTTGAAATTTCGCTACCATGTGTTGGCGGTTAATTTTCTTTTAAAAAAATCTCATGTTCAAAAATGTATATAATTTTATACTAGAATACACATAATTGTATACATGAATGTACATAATTGTATAACAAAATACACATACCTTTTTTTTTAAAAGATAATACATATAATCTAACATAATACATAATATACATAAACTTTTAACATAATACACATTTTGGATGTACATAATTGTATAAAAAATGTACATAATTGTATATTACACATAATTGTATAAACAAATACGCATAATCACATCAACTCCCTACATAACTTACCAAAACGACGTCGTTTTGGAAGGCGCGGGACGCACAGTGCTACGTGCACCATGGTGCAGGGTATAACGATTAAGTATAGAAATAAAATCTAAAAATTTTCAATTAAACTTAAAAGGCTAAGGTTAAGCCTTGCGTCTTGCTATAGCTTTGAACATCTCTCTATTTTTTAATATTTTTGCATTGGGAGTTTGCACACACTATTATTATTATTATTATAATTGTAATTTATTTTATAATGTCTTTTGACTTTTTCTTTACTTACAGTAACATTTTACCACATTATTATTATTAGAAAAAATTATGATATTCATTTTAAAGATTATGTTTTTAGTAGGACCCCATTTATTTACAAGAACATATCCACAAATATTTAAAAATGGGCCCTGCCGAACGCTAACAATAACGACCCTTTCCTGGGTTTGGTTGAGAAAACTTCAGAGTAATTTAGAGAGAGAGAGAGAGATGGGTTGTGTTGCTTTGACTTCTCTCATGGCGACAATTGAGCTCGATTTTCTGCAATCCATTCCGAGGGTATCCCTAGATGATGAATTACCAATGAAATTCTTTGAAAAGCTTTTATCTTTGCAAGCTTTTCTGCAGCAGAAATCCATGGGTAGTGGTGCTGCGATCCAAGAGTTGGAAATCAAGATCAGAGACTTCGCACTGGATGCCGAAGATCACATCGAAATACAACTCAGCAACTTCATTCTGGCCAAGAACGGAGATGATCAAGAAACAGCTGCACAACAACTCCATCAAACCTTGCTAGAAGCAGCAGAAAACGCAGCTGACTTGCTGAAAATCAGCAACGAATCTGATGATGATGAGGCCAATGAATGTCAATCACTGATTCCTTGGTTGTCGGATGGATCCTTGCGGCGGCAGCCTCCAAAGCTGGAGGGCAGAATGGTGGGTCGTCGCCATGATTACTTACTGGTGAAGAACCAACTCCTCTATAGCGATCAACGAAGAGTAATCCTAATTGTGGGGATGAATGGTATTGGAAAGACAACTTTAGCTGCAAGCGTCTATGAAGATTCATCAGTTGCATCGCACTTTGATGTACGAGCTTGGATTACTATGTCTGGGGAATACAACATGAGGCAAGCGCTACACGACCTTCTTTCGACACTAGCAGCAGAGCCGAATGAAACTAAAATGAGAAGAACTCCTCCTGTTGATGATGATGATCTACTAGCTAAGCAGGTATCCAAATGCTTGAAAGGTAAGAGATATTTTATTGTTTTGGATAACCTATGGAACAATCGAGTTTGGGAAGATATCCAAGGATATTTTCCAAATGATAGTAATGGAAGTCGTATAGTGCTAACCACTACGCACTTTGATCAGGGTTCCTACACTTCACTTGATTGTATCCATAACATGGCTTTGCTAGATTCAAAGGAAAGTTGGGATTTATTTTGTAGTAATCCTTTTATTGAAAAACATATGGCACCTAAATTTGAAAAAATTAGGAGCCACATTTTGGAGAAATGTGAAGGATTACCATTGTCAATTGTTACAGTGGCACAACGTTTGTCTAAAGGCAACAACATACAACAAGAATGGAAGAAGGTTGAGAAGGAACTAGAGTTGTTAGGATTTTTAGATAGTTGGGCACTTACTATTAGGTACAATCAATTGCCACAACATTTGAAAGTCTGCTTTCTCTATTTTGGTGTGTTCCCAAAAGGTAATGTAATCCGTGTCAAACAGCTTGTTAGGTTATGGATCGCCGAGGGAATTTTAAATCCATTTGGAAATGAAGGTCTTGAAAGTCAAGCTTATGAGTACTTACGGGAGCTTATTGATAGAAGTCTTGTCTTAATTGAAAAATGGAGTTCTGATGGGAAACTTAAGAGTTGTAAGATGCATAGTGCCTTGCATAGCTTTTGTGTAAGAGAAGCTCAGAAGAATAACATTTTTTGTGCGGTAAATACTCAGCAATATCCACAAGGGTCATTTAACATGTTTGCAAATTCATGCCGCTGGTTAAGTTTATACAAACATAGTTTTGACTATTATGTGTTGTTTAGAATAAACACCCCTCGCTCCATTTTCTTCTTTCAAAAAGATGATGAAATATCTGTACCTTTCAAGTTGTTAAGAGTTTTGGCTTCTGCTCCATCTTCATTTTTCCAAAGAGTGCCAACACAATTACAAGACTTAATTTTTTTGAGATACCTATCCGTAAAAGAATGGTTTAAGGGTCTAGATTATATTGTGTCAGCTAATAGAAACTTGCAGACACTTGTTGTTTCCCGTAGTAATGAATCCCAACCAAGAGGACCTACTCTTCATTTGCCTTCTACAATTTGGGAGTCACCACAGTTACAACATCTTAAACTTGACAATTCATATGTGATTGATCCTCCAAGCATGGTTAAAGATAATATGCAAACATTATCTTGGGTGTGTCCAACTCATTGTAGAACGGAAGTGTATCGCAAGTTTCCAAACATTAAAAGGTTGAAAAATTTTGGATTTTGCGGCAGCCCTATTATTTTGGATGATTTAAACTGTTTGGTGCGGCTTGAGAGGTTAACAATTTCAGTTTCATTTGGTTGCATTGTAACCCTTCCAAAACCTTCTATGTTTCCTTCACGACTAAAAAAGTTGTCTTTGAATGGTACTTGCCTTTCTGAGAAGGATTTAATGATAATTGGCATGTTGCCCCGATTTGAGGTGTTGAAGTTGAAAAATGCTTTTCATGGGGAAGTATGGGAATTAGCAGAAGGCCGAAGATTCAATCAATTAAGATTCTTGCTTCTTGAAGATAAAAAGCTCAAAAAATGGATGATTAATAAATATTCGTTCCAATGTCTTGAACGCTTAGTTTTAAGATTTTGTTGTTGTTTGGAAAATATCCCTAGCATGATGTATCATATTATCACCTTGAAGTCAATTGAATTAGAGGAGTGTGGTCCTTTTGTTGTTGTTAGGGCATTGAATATTCAGGAATTTCGACACTTTATTTCAGACATAAATTTTGAGGTTAGAAATTATGATTCCTTCTTGATTTTTCAATTATTTTGTCTTCACTTCTAACCTTATATATTCACAAAAGTTGCTATTATTTTCTCCTTCTGATCTGATTTCGTTTTCTTCATTTTGCATTATTTTATTCATATAGGTCAAAATCAAGGGACCTGAAGCACAAAGCTTGGCTTGATTGCATATAATGTATAGATCAAAATATTGCTTAAGATCAGATTTCCCCTAAATTATTGTCATCAAGCTAGCCAAGCTTCAAATCCAGGCCAAGAACACATACAAGAGCCAACCATCAAGTTATAGGTTTGCATTAAATTTAATTTGGTTATTAACAATTATTCTTAATATTATTTATTTTAATTTTCTTTCCAATTGCATGCCTTTACTACTTTGCAGTTCCATATTTTCTTTTCTGTAATCTTTTATCTAAAAAGATTTTGTATGAAGTCTTGATGAATTTTATGTTAATTACCAATTATTCTTTCTTGGTAGATCAGATATTTCACTAGCTTTTTGCATGTGAAAATATTTTAAATATTTGCCAAAAGTGATACAAGTGTAAAACTTTATATTAGAGATTTCAAAATTAATTCAGTATGTATAAAATTATTTCAAATACTTACTTTGAACTAAATAAATGAAAACTAAACAAATTTGGAGCTTGCATTTGTTGCATACAAAAAAATTACAAATTACATAATGAATCGGACCAGGTCCACTATATGCATTGTGGACCTTGGTCTAGATTATATACATGTAGTTTAACATATTATGTGCATTTAGTTAATAGATTATGCACATATAACTAGATTGAAAGTACATAATTTGTTAGCTGCAACATGTAACAACGTCGTGTATGTGTTCATAATTGGACCTTGAATGTTATGTGTTCGTAAATTGCTCTAATTAGGATTGAATTGCCACGATAATGATGTTCAATCTAATTGGTAGTTCAATAAGATTTGCACCTTGTAACATCTTCATTTATCATTGCTAAGTCATTACATAATCCCTAATCCTAAGACACTCTACTCTATAGCATTTATGCAAGAGTTCGCCTAGTCCAAATCCCTCCGGCCTTTTACCTATTATTTTTACTTGCTTTGTTCATCACTTGCTATTTCTTTTTTTTTTCTTTTTTTTTTTTCGGGGGGGGGGGGGGGGGGGGGGGGTGGTGGGTTCAATTCTCAAACCAATTGTCAGAGTTAGACTCCAAACACTATATATGTTTTGTGATTAACCAACATACTGTTTGACACCTTTTTAATTCACTCATCGAGACGATATTCGGTGTGAAAATACTATCTCACACAAACCTTATCACTAATTCAAATTTTCAGGTATAAAGGTCTTATGATATATATTATATTTATATAATAAATTTTTAATCAACTTTTTACTTGTGGTTGATAGAATGTTTTTTTTTTTTTTTTTTTTTTTTTGGTAGGATGATTGAACGTTTTTTAACAACATAAAAATCATGTACAAAACATAATAAAAATAAAAATAAAGGGACATATAAGTTATTAAGTCGAACAAAGAGTACAATCGTTATGTTGTGGAACAGTTCTATGTTAATAATTACTGAACTATATATATGTTCATAATTATAAAGTTATATATTCATAATTTTAAAACCTCATATTCATAATTATTAAACTCTATATTCACAATTACAGAACTCTATGTTTATAAATACTGAACTATATGTTCATAATTATAAAATTATATATTCATAATTTTTGAAATTTATATTCACAATTATTGAATCTCTATATTAATAATTACAGAACTATATGCTCATAATTATGTTCACAACTCTATGTTTATAATTAGAACTATATATTTAGAATTTTTGATGAAGGGTTTGATGTGAAAGTTGGGATAAGGAGAAGAGAAATGGTTTTAATTCATAAGGTTAAAATATGTCATTACTTTAAAATAATAAGGGTAAAGATGGAAAAAAAGTTAGGAAGGTAGTAGTTTATTTTGAAACGCTACCTAAAGTAGCGTTCCAAAATAAGCTCTTATTTTAAGCTAGGAGCTTATTTTGTAAACATTACCAAACAGAGCTTATAGCTTATTAATAGTTTAAAATAAGCTATAAGCTCCTAGCTTAGCCTTGCCAAACAGAGCCTAAAAGTACATTATTTTTATACGTAAAGTATAGTTTTTTGAAAGTACATTATTTGAGTTATGATAGTATCTAAAAACAAGTGTGAATGAATGTTATATCCTTGATTTATGTCTGTTTTTTCCTTTAAGTTTTTTTATACGTTATGCTATAAAAGTTGTACTTTTAGTATATTAAAAGTGTACTTGATATACATGATTCACACAATAATTTGCCATCTTTATGCATGTTATATGTCCTTTCTCATTGCATTTATGTTTTTATTACTTTGTAGTACAGTCCCCTACCTATTTTCTGTATGCATGTAATCTTCTATTTAAACAAATTTTATATGAAGAAGATTATAGCGTTTCATTATCAATTGAAAACTTGAATTTTATGTTATGTATTTGATCTAATATAATTTGATTTTTCTCTCCTTATATATGTTCTGCTTCCAAGAGGATTTTGGGGAAAATATCTCAAGTTGAATCATCAAATACGAGGAAGAGTTGAAGAGCTGAAGTTGATGACTACTATAAAACTAATCTAAATTTGGAACACGTTGCGCACATACTAAAAATAGGAAACATCATGAAAATGACTAAAAGTGTCCAAAAGATAATATTTTGTGATGTTAAATGACAAAAACGATAGTCTGGGACTAAATTTGAAATTACCACCAAAGATAAGGAATCTCTTGGATTCGAATTTGAACTTCATTAACTCGTATGTTTTTAAAAAAATAGTTGAATGTTAATTATTGAAGAATTATATTTTATAAAATAAGCTCATTAGGATTTATGATTTTTCATTTTTTTTTTAAAAAATTATACTAGTATAACACTTTGACTATGAATTGTCCCCGTCCCCGCCAAATACCCCACAGGGACGGGGACGGAGAATTTTTTTTCAAATCCCTGCCGGAGATGGGGACGGGGACGGGGACTATACTCCTCGCCCCCACCCCGCCCCGTTGCCATCTTAGCATTTCAGAATCTGCAGTGCTCCTTAAGAAGCAAAGGTCAAAATTCGTTTAGTGTGCTTCAACTCTATATGGTCATGCTCCAGTAAATAACGTTTGGTTTTTGGCGTTTAGGAAGAGTCAAATTCCAGATCCCCCTGAAAGTTTTAGCAACGGGGAAAACCACTCGTGAGTTGTGATGCAACGAATCAGATGCTAAGGTCTCCATTTGCAGTAATATGTCAAAATATGTACAGCAATGTATCGAGTCATCAAAATGAGGACACCAAAGATTCGCATGCCAATGGTAAGTAATCTGAAGCAATGTTTGGGTGTTCATTAGGTTATATAAGTCTTTAAGTCATTTAGACCATCAACTACAGCCCTAAGGGACGCCTAACATATTTTGCAACATTGAGTGTAAGTAACACCGTACCCTTCATTGTTTCACTATCTGACCTGAACTCCATTAAATGCTGACACTGTTTTTTCGTTCGTTTTTAGGAGAGACAATTCCTACTAAAAACGCTTGGAAAGGAATCTACGTCTCCGAATCCTTCTCATCCTCCATCGTGCAAGAGGGCCCTCCATAGTTTATGACAAAACTTACCAATCAATCTCATGCGGAGCTCAATCACCATGACTTTTCGTCCAAAAATTTTGGCCATGTGTAGATTTTTTTTAAGCCAGTTTTCCGTTGGATTGCAATCATTATGACCTGAGTTTTTACAAAGAGGCAGGCCATGAAGATCTGGTCCCAAAGACCACAATCTAGAATGCAATGGAGCATCCTAGTATTTTCCGAAGATCTGATAAGATGGTCTGCATCCTTTCTCAACTTACTAGCCTAATACAGTGTCTAGAGTAGTGTTGTGATTTTTTGTGTTGTGTCACATTCTTCTGTGTGCTGTATCATGTATGGGAGAGTTGGATAGGGCATCCAATAATGTCCCCATAAGGCTTTTTACGGTATTTATATGCCAATTGTACAGAATATATACAATGTAGTTATAGATTGGCACATCGCCAATGATATTGAACATATCAAAAAGAAGAAGGATACATTGATAGAAGAGAGGAGGATCAATATCAACCAGTTGAACTGACCCCCCTCCCTAGCGTTTTTGCTTCATGTGCAAAGTTTAGATAATAAGTTTTGTAGTGTTCTTTTGTTTCTCTCATCTTTATGTAACATCTAACTCATACTTCTTTAGAACACACATTCTATTCATTAGCCTTTCAAGTGATTCACACAGTGATTCTATTATATATGTAATATTAAACAAATTGCATATATTCTTCTTTTTTTCTCTCCCTATTAGGGTTTTTATTCTCTTTCTCCCTTTAGGGTTTCCGGCGTTTTTTATTCTCCGACAGCTTGTTTCCGTACGGCAGCTAGCCATGCGACGTCGACACAGTGCACCTGCATGGCTTCGATGGAGCGACAACAACAAGATGATGGCGTACAGGCGATTGCAGAGCGCTGGGGAGACATGGTTCTGGAAGACGAGGAGGATGGGGTTGATGCGGGCGGTGCGTATGAGCCGGCGCCGGGAGATGGGGGGGGGGGTGGTTTATTCGGTAGTTGGCCGTTTTTTTACCAAGAAACTGATCAAAGTGGAGTATATGCGGCAGGTTTTAGCATCGGTATGGCAGCCGGTGTTTGGAATGCGGGTAACAGAATTGCACTCGAATTTGTTCTTATTTGCTTTTTATCACGAAACTGATATGGTGCGAGTATTGGAGGAGGGGCCGTGGTCCTTCGATAATCATACGTTGGTGTGCCGCCGCGTCCCTGATGGTTATCTCCCGGGGGAGGTTAAATTGGATACTCTGGATATGTGGATACAAGTGTATGATTTGCCGTTGGGTTATACATCTAATGTGGTGCTTGAACAAGTCAGGAACTTCGTGGGAACGTTTATTCGTTGTGATGACCGCCGTGTTGGGGGACCGGTCAAGACTTTCTACCGGGTATGGGTCGCAGTTCCGGTTGACTAGCCGTTAAAGCGGCGTATGAAACTCATACGGCGTGATAGGACATGGGGTTGGGTTAATTTGAAGTATGAACGCCTACATAATTTCTGCTTCTATTGTGGCATATTGGGACATCTTGAAAAATTTTGTGCGAAGGCCAGGGTTTTAGGAATCAACCGGGAGCATTATTCGTATGGCGATTGGATGAGGGCGTGCCAAACCAGGGGACTGAGGCAAGTAGGCGCTGCCTGGCTACTCCCGCCGGTACCACCACGACCGAATCGACTGCCTACGGTGGTGGAAGGTTCCGCGTCGTCGGATGACTCCCAGGGAGATGTTCGGATGATGGGGGCGCAGTGTGAGCCGGAGGAGGGTGTGGAAGCCTCGTTAAAACGACATCGTGCGGCCACGAATGGTGATGTTGATGAGGATAGTAGGCCGAATGATATGGGGGAAGATAGTGGTTCAAAAAACTTGTTTATGGCGGGTCTAGCTTCCCAGGCCCGCCCGATCCAATGAGTACATTAAGCTGGAACTGTTGTGGCTTGGGTAATCCACGGACAGTTCGTGAAGTTGTGGACCTTGCGTCCCGTAAGAAGCCCGATTTTATTTTCTTGATGGAAACAATGGTGGAGAGAGCACATGCTGAGCGTATTCGTGTGAAACTTGGTTTTGAAGGTTTGTTCTATGTTGATAGCAGAGGTACGAGTGGTGGGCTAGCTTTGTTGTGGCGGAAAAACAATACGGCAAGGTTATTGAGTTACTCGAAGAATTATGTTGATATAGTAGTTACTATGGCTGGTTTCCCAGATTGGCGTATGACATGTTACTATGGCTTCTCGCAGCGTGATAGGCGTGTGGAGTCGTGGGATTTACTGAGATCCCTGTCGGGTAAGTCACATCTCCCGTGGATTGTTGTGGGGGATTTTAATGACTTACTCTATCAGCATGAGAAAAGAGGAGGACGCCCGCATCCGAATAGTCTATTACGTGGTTTTGGGGAGGCACTGGAGGACTGTGGTTTAGCCCAAATGCCAATGAATGGGTATCAGTTTACCTGAGAAAAGAGTAAGGGAACGCCCAACTGGATCGAGGAAAGACTAGACAAAGTGCTTGTCACTGAGAGCTGGCGTAGTACAGTGGTGGGAGCCAGGGTGACAAATCTTATCACTAGAAAATCGGATCATACGGCTCTATTTCTAGGGATCCATGACTCCGTTGGGAGGGGTGGAACTACTAGGAGGGGCTTCCGGTTTGAGATGGCATGGTTGCACGATGAGGGGTGTAGAGGTGTGGTGGAGCAGGCTTGGGGGGAAGCGAGAATGAGAGGGCTGCAGGACTGTATTGAGTTCTGTGGTGCTCGTTTGTCAAAGTGGGGTGGCGATCAATATCACAAGTATGGGGAGCAGATTGTGTCCCTACGAGAGGAGCAGCAACGTATAAGGGGGAACACTGACCCGGTTTCTTTAGCTGAGTTCCAAAGGATAGAAAGCCTACTAACCCGCCTTGAGACTCAGGAAGATGCGTACTGGAGACAGAGAGCCAAACAACACTGGCTCAGAGGAGCAGATGCCAACACTAAATTTTTCCACAGGTATGCCTCTCACCGTAAAAAGAAAAATACTTTGTCTAGATTAAAGAATGATATTGGGGATTGGGTGGAAGGAGATGATATGAAGGGGATTATTATGAGCTATTTTGACCATATTTTCTGCACTGAACATCCGGGAGAAGATGTGAATTTTTTTGAGGGGGTGAACCCACGAGTAACTCAAGAGCATAATGACTGGCTGCTTAGACCTTTTGAATGCGAGGAAGTGAAAACAGCGCTATTTGCAATGTTCCCGGATAAGGCACCGGGACCGGATGGAATGAATCCGGGGTTTTATCAACAATTTTGGGATGTAGTGAGAGGGGGGGGGGGGGGATGTCTCGAGTTTTGTAGTTGGATGTCTGCAGTCTCGGGAATTCCCGCCTGGATTGAATGATACAGATGTGGTTTTGATCCCAAAGAAGAGTGCTCCTGAATTAGTCACTGATCTCAGGCCCATAGCCCTCAGCAATGTGGTGTATAGGATAATGGCGAAAGTAATAGCAAACAGAATGAAACCCATAATGGATGAATTGATATCGGTTTCGCAGAGTGCTTTTATACCCGATAGGCTCATTACAGATAATATATTAATAGCTGCGGAGATAGGTCATTACTTGAACCGGAAGCAGTGTGGAAAGGTGGGGTGGGGTGCTCTCAAGCTAGATATGGCCAAGGCTTATGACAGAGTGGAATGGTCTTTCCTACACAACATGCTTGTAGCGCTGGGATTTGACAATAGATGGGTGGAGTTGATTATGTTATGTGTAACCTCGGTGTCCTATAATTTTTTGATTAATGGTTCGCGTAGGGACACAATTATGCCTACTCGTGGATTAAGACAGGGGATCCTTTGTCTCCTTATCTTTTTATTATATGTGCAGAAGGGCTCTCTTTGTTATTACAACAGGCACAGGCTAGGGGTTCTATTCATGGTTGCAGAGTTGCAAGGGGTGCCCCCCAATATCTCATTTGTTTTTTGCTGATGATAGTCTGCTCATTTTCAAAGCCAATGGCCAGGAAGCCAGTGAAATTAAAAATTGTTTATCTATATATGAGAATTTATCTGGACAGGTGGTTAACTATCACAAGTCAAATATATGCTATAGCAAGAATACTGACGAAATTGATAGGAATGAGGTGGCACAAATTTTGGGTGTGGTTCAGGCTCCTAATTTTGGAAAATATTTGGGACTCCCATCATTTGTAGGGAGGAATAAAAAAGCAGCCTTTGCATATATTGAGGACAAAATCAGACACAGGATTGGGTCATGGAATAAGAAGCTGCTATCACAGGCTGGTAAAGAAATCTTGTTGAAAAGTGTAGCACAATCTATGCCTACTTTTTCAATGAGTGTTTTTTTATTACCTGCAACTATGTGTACGGCAATTGAGAGAGTTATGAACCGCTATTGGTGGGGAACTGACAATAGTCAAGGAATACATTGGAAAGCATGGGACAAATTGTGTATCCCAAAAAAACATGGCGGACTGGGCTTTAAAGACCTGCGGGCGTTCAATTTAGCCATGCTAGGGAAACAAGCATGGCGCCTACTTACCAAGCCAGAATCTTTGGTGGCAGCTGTTTATAAAGCCAGGTATTACCCAGGAATTCGTTTTATGAGGCAGAAATGGGAAATAATCCTAGTTTTTGCTGGCGAAGTATTATGGCAGCAAAGAGCCTGATTTGTAGTGGTGTCAGGCGCAGGATTGAGAATGGTAACGACACATCAATATGGGCACATCCATGGATACAGGATGAACAGGAACCTATAATACAAACGGACATGCCTGTGCAATTAGCAGATGCGAAAGTTGTGGGGTTGATTGATCAGGATACTGGTACGTGGGATCACTCAATTCTTACTGATTTGTTCCAACCTATAGCTGTGGAGAATATAAAGAAAATACCTATTTCCCCAGAATATGACGATTCATGGTATTGGCATGGGGACCCAAAAGGGATCTATTCGGTCAAGAATGGTACAGACGCATTGTGGGAAATTATGAGCCAAACAATGGATCTTTTGATAAATGGCTCGCCCTATGGAGCCTAAAAATCCCACCCAAATGGAAAACCTTTCTATGGAGAGCAATTACTGATATCCTCCCGACCACTACAAATTTGATTATAAAGAGAGTGGAAGTGGACCCAATTTGTGCTATGTGTGGAAATGTTCAAGAAGATACTATGCATGCCTTGGTGTTGTGTGATTTTGCGAAAGCCATTTGGGAACGATCTAGCCTTCCAATCTCTAATATTGTGACGAATGTTTTTCATATTTGGTTCTCTGAGCTCCTAAATATTCTAGACTCTAATAGAATGTTATATGCAACAGCAATCTTATATCATATTTGGAGAGCACGGAATGGAGCGGTATGGGATGCCGTTATGCCACGGCCCACGAAACTCCTCGCCACGGTCACGGCAACCATTGAAGCTTGGCGCAACGCACGGCTGCCGCCCCAGCCCGTAACACAGCCGCAACAGCATACTCACACGGTGGCACAACCCCACAACACGGCGGCACAACTGGGCAGGACATGCCACATGGATGCCGGCTACCTCCACGACTCCGGTGTGGCAACGGTGGGGGCAATCTTACTCGATGCAGATGGCAGATACGTGGCAGCATTCAGTGCCCCCCTTCCAACTTGTTTTTCACCACTCATGGCAGAGGCGCTTGCGTGCAAAGAAGCGTTATCATGGCTTAAAAACCGGGGTGAGACATCAGTACATCTATACACAGATTGCCTATCGTTGCAACGATATCTTATTGCACCCTCATCTTCAGTTCGTTCGTATGTTGGTTATGCCCTTGATAGCTGTAAGTCCACTGCAGCTTCGTTTAATTCTTGTTCTTTTAATTTCATTCCTAGAACAGATAATTATTTAGCTCATGCGTTAGCATCTGCTGCGTTCCAGCAACCTACTATTTTGTATTGGGATCTATGCCCACCTGACATTATTGCAGCATTTTTCTAATAAAAGCACCATGAAAATTTAAAAAAAACAAATTGCATATATAAAGTTTCGTTGGTCCCCCATTCAGCTAGTCTTAGCCTCTTAGGTCAGTGCCTTAATGACTTCTTATATGTTCAGCATATAATATATAAACATAAATATGAAATCTAATTACCAGCATTCAAAAAAAAAAAAAGAAATCTAATTACCATCTTAGACTTGTAGTTGAGATGGAGCACATGCTTCAATTTTCTTTAGTATGGTCTAAATTAAATTAAACATTCTATTTAAATCTTTGTCATAATATTCATACAGTTATCTACAATTTTTCTTATGTTTGGTATCATTATGAACGATTGACTAGCTAGATATCATTACTACTATTGGGAATATGGTAGTAAAGCACGTTTGGGGGCCAGTGAATATTCTTGTAGTTTATGCTTTTGTGAAGGCGGTAAGTTCTCAATGGCAAATTATGCTGTGCATCCGTATGCACCAAGCATGGTGCATACGGATGCAAAAACGACGTCGTTTTATAAAAATGCGCGTCTCCCCTTAAAAAAAAAAATTAGGTTCGAAACTATAATTCCATAATCGATGAACTATAATTCCATAATCGATGAACTATAATTCCATAATCGATGAACTATAATTCCATAATTGATGAACTATAATTCCATAATCTAATCTATGAACTAAAATTTTCAGAATGAATGAACTAAAATTCCAGAATCTATGAACTAAAATTTCAGAATCGATGAACTATAATTCCAGAATCGATGAACTATAATTCCATAATCGATGAACTATAATTCCATAATCCATGAACTAAAATTCCATAATGAATGAACAAAATAATGTTGTTACTAGGAATCGAACCTGAATTTTTTTTAAAAGGGGAGACGCGCGTTTTTAATAAAACGACGTCGTTTTTGCATCTGTATGCACCATGCATGGTGCATACAGATGCACAGCATAACTATTCGTTCTTAATCTGATCCGGACAATTGAATTCTTGACTTTAATGATTTTGCCTAATTGAATCCTATGATAGGATAATTTGATAATTTCGATCTCCTTTATTAATACAGAATTTAGTCCTCCACTATAAAAGGTTTACTCAATTCAGCTATTGATTATAGTGACCTTTTTCTATTTAGAGGTTGATTATAACAGTCGGAGGACTCAATTAGATAATCGTTCGATAATTAATCTATCCGATCAAAATTATCAACAATTGTTGTTGGTGGTTGATAATATTAACAGACTTTTTTCTAACAGTCCGGCAATGGTGATTAATATTATGCAAGCTAGGTGGTGGAGACAATTGAATGTGCACCATTGATAGAGACAAAGTTTTACAGATGAGCGAGAAATTAAAACATTTTTTTAACAAGCAGATCAGACCACCTTCATCTTCTTTTTATGCAATGTTTGGAGGGTTGTGGCTACACCCACTCAATACTCATTCATTGAGAAAACTAAACAAGCTAGCAGATCTGAATAATTTGAAAGAGAGATCTATCGAGATGGCTTGTGTTGCATTGACTTCTCTGATGGCAACAATTGAGCTAGAGTTTCTGCAACCAAATCCAAGCAGGGTTCCTCTTGATGCTGAAGGGTTTATATCAATGGAATCTTTGTATGAAAAGGTTTCATCTTTGCAAGGTTTTGTGAAGGAGAAATCCGGGGCACAGGGTGGCACTGCAATCAGAGAACTGGAGATACAAATCAGAGACTTTGCACTGGATGCCGAAGATCGCATTGAAATACAACTAAGCAACTTTCTTCTGGCCAAAAACGGAGAGGATCAACAAAAAGCTTATCAACAACTCCATCAAACCTTGGGAGAAGCAGCAGAAAACGCAGTGGAGTTGCTGGAAAAAAGCAAGGAATTGGAAACTGATGAAGAAGAAGAAGAAGTGGTGAATGAAAGTGAAGGACCACTGATTCCTTGGTTAAAACACGCTTCGGCTTCGGAGCCCAGCAATGTCGTTATGGTCGGTCGTCGCCGTGATCATAAGCTGATAAGGGACAGACTCATCATGTGGCCCTCGAGTGAACTAGAAGTGGTCTCAATTGTTGGGATGGCCGGCATTGGGAAAACAACTTTAATTACTAGTGTCTATAATGATCCATTAGTTGCATCCCATTTCGATGTACGAAGATGGGTTTCTATGCCTGTGGGTGGGGGATACAATGAAAAGGGAATTAGCCAACTGCTACACACCCTTCTTTGGACACTACTACCAGAGGCAGATGATGATGATGATGATCTAGCAGTAGCTAAGCAGGTATACAAATGCTTGAAAGGTATGAGATATCTAATTGTTTTGGATAACTTATGGAACAATCAAGCTTTGTATGATATCCGGCGTTGTTTACCTAATGATACAAATGGAAGTTGCATAGTGATAACAACTACGCATTTCACGGGGGGTACATATGGTTACCTTAGCTATGTTCATAACATGACTTTGCTAAATTCAGAAGAAAGTTGGGCTTTATTTTGTAATAACCCTTTTCTGAAATTGAAAAACCATATGGAACCAACTAAATTTCAAGAAATTAGGAGCCAAGTTGTAAAGATATGCGAAGGATTGCCACACTCAATTCTTGTAGTTGCAAAACGTCTATCTAAGTGTGACAACATAAGACAAGAATGGAAGAAGGTTGAAAAGGAAATAGAGTTGCTTGGAGTTTTAGATAGGAGGGCACTGACCCACACTTACAAACAATTGCCACAACACTTAAAAGTTTGTTTTCTATATTTTGGAGTCTTCCCAAAACGCAGTGCAATCAAAGTGAAACAACTTATTAGGCTATGGATTGCTGAAGGATTTGTTAATCCATTGGAGGGCAAGGAGTTAGAAAATCAAGCCTATGAGTATTTGCAAGAGTTCATTGATAGAAGTCTTATTCTAATTGACAATTGGAGTTTTTATAGAAAAAATAAGAATTGTAGGATGCATAGTGCCTTACATAGCTTTTGTGTAAGTGAAGCTCAGAAAGAGGGCATTTTTTGTGCTTTAAATACTCAACAACTTCCACGAGGGTCATTTGGCATGTTTGCAAATTCATGCCGCTGGTTAAGCTTATACACACATAAATTTGACTATTATGTGTTGTTAAGAACAAACAACCCTCGTTCCATTTTCTTCTTTCAAGAAGATGCTGATGAAATATATGTATCTTTCAAGTTTCTAAGAGTTTTGGCTTATGTTCCATCTTCATTTCTTCAAAGAGTGCCAACGCGCTTATATGATTTAGTTTTTTTGAGATACCTATCTGTATCTGGATGGTTTGAGGGTCTTGAGTATATAGTGTCAACCAATCGAAACTTGCAGACACTTGTTGTTTCTAGTAAAGAATCCCAACTTGGAACACCTAGTATTCATTTGCCTTCAACAATTTGGGAGTCACCAAAATTACAACATCTTGAACTTGACAAATCTTATGTGATTGATCCTCCATGCATGGATAAAGATAATATTCGAACATTATCTTGGGTGTGCACATCAACTCATTATAGAGAAGGGCCAAGAGGACATTGCAGGTTTCCAAATATTGAAAAATTGAAAATCTTTCTAGTTTGCAGCAATCCTATTCGTTTTGATAATTTTGAATATTTCGAACGTCTTGAGAGACTATCAATTATTTCATTTTCGTTTGATTACATTGTAAACATTCCAAAGCCATCTATGTATCCTTTACAACTAAAGAAGTTGAGGTTGAACGGTACTTACCTTTCAGAGAAGGATTTAAAGGTAATTGAAATGTTGCCTCAGCTTGAGGTTCTCAAATTGGAAAATGCCTTTCGTGGAAAAGTATGGAAAGTAGAAGAAGGATTTTTGCGATTAAAATTTTTGCTTCTTGAAGATAAAATGCTCAAGCAATGGATAGTCGTCAGTGATGAATCCTTCCCAAGTCTTAAGCATCTAGTCTTAAGATTTTGTTATTGTTTGGAACAAATCCCCGAGGTTATGAAATTTATTGTTACCTTGGAGTCAATTGAGGTTCAGTGGTGTTGTCGGTCCGTTTGCGATTCTGCAAAGTGGATTCAAGAATGTCAACGCAAGATTGGAATGGAAAGTTTAGAGGTTAGAAACTACCTATACTAGCTAGTACAGTACAACATATATGATTCATTCTTACATTTCCATTTATTTTTCTATTCAATGCTAGCTTACTGCTGCTATTTCGAATTCTGATCTCATTTCATTCTTATATTAGTTATGCATTTATTTTTCTATTCAATATAACGCAGAAAATCTATTGCAATTTTCTCCCTCGCTCTGATCTCATTTCTTAGTCTTGGAAATGAAAATTTTGAGGTTAGAATTAAGCTGCGTAGTATAACGTAACATACATGATTCATTCTTACTTCAATTTATATATATTTTTCTATTCAATATAATTTTCTTTACATGTGTTTAGCCTTGTCATCCTTGGCTTCATTAATATCTCATTTCAGTTTCTTCAATTTATTCTTTGCATTCTGTTTTTCATATATATAGATCAAAATCGTGGGATCTGAATATGATGATGATGAATCAGAGTGTACACAAACAGAAGAGTTTATAGCTTCAGATGATGAATGACGATGACAAGCTAATGTATGGATGCATGCATGCTAGAATTCATCCAATCACAAAAATTCTTGGTTACCAACTAACTACAAATTCTTAACATTTATTTATTACGGAGTATTAATTATATATGTCATTTCTTTTCCTTTGTTTTTATTAGTTTGCAGTCCCCTATTGTCTGCAGGCACAGAGGATATTTGGCAACAGATGGACAGAAATTGCGATGGTTTTAATGGCGCTTTAAATCCAAGCTTGTCTGTTCGTGAAGAACTGATAATGCTGTCAAGAATCGGTTCACGACCCTCTGCGGCTCTGCAAAAAGAGAGCGAAGAGCGAGGCATTAGCAAAAGAAAACAGTAATTCATCCATTAATAGGTAAAATCCGTTTAGTGTGCTTCAACTCTATATGATTACACTCGAGTAAATAACGTTTGGTTTTTGGCGTTTAGGAGGAGTCACATTCCAGACCCCCCTGAAAGTTTTAGCAACGGGGAAAAATCACTAGTGAGTTGTGATGCAACGAATCAGATGCTAAGGTCTCCATTTGCAGTAATAGGTCAAAATCTCTACAGTCCCGGGAGCAATGTATCGAGTCATCAAAATGATGAGGACACCAAAGATTCACACGCCAATGGTAAATAATCTGAAGCAATGGTTATATAAATCAGAAAAGTCATTTAGATTATCAACTATTTTATAAGTTCTTTATCTTTTATAATTAACACCGGTTTTGGATCAAGCAGGCTCTAGCAATGAAACCGAAGGAACATTTCTTAAGAAGGATGATCCGAAGGATGATCCGAAGATACTTGCATTGATGCAACAAGCGGAACTACTGAGCTCACTGGCACTCAAAGTCAATTCCGAAAACACAAACCAGAGTCTTGAAAATGCTTGCAAGGTCAGGAAAAACGAGCGTTCTTGTATGGAGGAATTCAGTGTTATCCACCTTTCTAAAATGACATTATCAACATTGCAGTGCATACATAGTTTCTTTCTCGATAACCCAAAAAATTTCTGATTGCAACAACTTAAAGGCCCTTCAAAGTTGATTATGATTGTATCAATATTATGTTGTTGTTTGTTCACATGATGGCGGCTCAATCAGTGGATCTTCTGATACGAAAGGAATCTTTTCAGGTACTTGAATATTTTCTCAATCATACAAAAGATGGTGATGTGACGAAATGCCAAATTTCTGAGATGGAGATTCAGCTCGAGAATTTTAAGCAATCTGCAAATGAATTAAAAAACATTAATGAATGCAGTCAACCATCTTGGAGGTATTGTCACATGCAAGCTAAATATGTTACTCGGGAATGTTTGTCCACAATAACGGAAGTGCCTAATATATGATTTGTGCAGGCAACCTGCTTTATCTGAAGAGTCTGCAGGCAGCTCGGAGTATAGCACTGGATCAACATTACTAGCCCACGGGGTTGGTGATAATAGAGAAAAGAGCGAAGCTGAGCTATGTGCTTTGCATCAGGATATTGAATCGGGATTACAATCAACCCACATTGATGATGAATTTGCAAAAGGAATTTCTGGCAATGCCTCGAATTCTCAAGGTGTGAAAGACTTGTACTTTATGCAAGGCATTTTTAATCGGATTAATACTTCAAGCTTATAAAATTTGTATGGTTCCAGTTGATACGTTCCCAGCTTGTGACAAAGTTAATCCCGTTAATGAGACTATATGTGATTATTCAAATGAAGAATGCTGTTCCCCTATTCAAGTAACCCCGATGTTCAGATCACTAGCAGCAGCTATTCCCAGCCCGAAATTTTCAGAAAGTGTAAGTAACACCCTTCATTGTTTCACTATCTGACCTAAAAACTCGATTCAATGCTGACACCTTTTTTTTCATTCGTTTTCAGGAGAGACAATTCCTACTAAAAACACTTGGAATGGAATCTACGTCTCTGAATCCAAGCATCAATCCTTCTCATCCTCCATCGTGCAAGAGGGCCCTCCTCCATAGTTTATGACAAAACTTACCAACCAATCTCATGCATATTCTGCGGGGCTCAACCACCATGACTTTTCGTCCAAAAATTACAGGCATGTGTAGATTATATTTTAAGCCAGTTTTCCGTTGGATTGCAGTCATTATGACCTGAGTTTTTACAAAGAGGCCATGAAGATCTGGTCCCAAAGACCACAATCTAGAATGCTAAGGAGCATCCTAGTATTTTCCGAAGATCTGATAAGATGGTCTGCATCCTTTCTCAACTTACCAGCCTAATACAGTGTCTAGAGTGTTGTGTTTTTCTTTTTTTTTTTTTTTTGTTGTGTCACATTCTTTTGTGTGTTGTATGGGAGAGTTGGATAGGGCATCCAATAATGTTCCCATAAGGCTTTTTTACAGTATTTATTTGCCAATTGTACAGAATATATAGAATGTAGTTACAGATTGGCACATCGCCATTGATATAGAACATATCAAAAAGAAGAAGAATACATTGATAGAAGAGAGGAGGATCAACATCAACCAGTTGAACTGACCCCCCTTCCCTAGCGTTTTTGCTTCGTGTGCAGAGTTTAGATAATAAGTTTTGTGGTGTTCTTCTGTTTCTCTCATCTTTATGTAACATTTATCTCATACTTTTATTGGAGTGGAAAATCCAATATTGCCTTTTGTGTGTATATATATGTCTCAGAAAGCAAATTACTTAGAGCTGAACAAGATTTGGACTAAAGATGTGTTGTTAGGATCGAGCGCTTTAGCTACATAGTGTTGGACTTGGCCCTTCAGGCCTCCTCCCAACACTTACTTTAGCTACATAGTGTTGGACTTGGTCCTTTACCGGCTTTTGCCCAACCAGATGCACATATGCATGCCCATAAACAACGAAAGAATTATAAAACGACATGTTCTTGGATAATAGAATAGGAGAAGAGTGGAGATAGAGTTTCTTACACTGTTTTGTAGTTTTTCTGTGGCCTTGAATTCAGAAGCTTCCTTGACAGCACCTACTGGAGATCTGGAATGGGGTAAGTGTTGTGGGGAAGAAGCTAAGGGGTCTGAGAAACTCTCTCTGTTATTTAAGTTGGTCAGAGGGCAAAGTGTGATCAATGGCAGAATGCAGAAAGTAGGGGAGGGAACTCTTTGCAAATTAAAGTGTGGAGTATAGTGGCAGTCACTTAAGTGAAAAGACTGAATTGACCCTCATTCCCATTCTCACGTCTTGAGTCAGAAGGGAGTATTATGGTATATGTACATGCTAATGGTTCTCCAACAAGGGCCCAAAGTTGAGATCTCATCATTGAAAGCAGAAAAGCAAACTTTAACATAACACAAGGATTGCAGTTTGGGTCCATCTCTCAAATTTGAACTTTTGAGTTTTGACTGTAACAACCGTTTCAGAACATAAATCAGTTGACATTAAACCAAATATTTGATTCTAATCTTCACAATTCATGAGTAATTAGATGCAAGAAATGCTTTGAAATGCATTAGTGGTTTATAAAAATCATGTGTACTTCCTCTTCACAGTTTCTTGTTGTAATGGTTGTGTTGGTCAAGGGACCAAATCGACTAATGGTTAGAAAGATAAAGTTATGGCCAACAGATCTTAAGCTATAAGAGGGAAATTGGAAAGATATGCCATGTCTGCAGCTTTTGTTGGGCATTTTAAGAATTGAGTTGTGCACGACATTTTGCCCTATTTGCTGAGTCACTGAGTTACCGTGATTTATCTCCTCCCACCTGTTCTACGTGTCGGGGCGTAAGGGGCCCTCAGGGTTGGGGATTGAACCAGAGAGTGCCGCCGTTTCCATTAGACCAAACCTTTATCGCTTCATGAAATATTGAAATCACACTGAACTACTCAACCTATTAAGTTGGTGTATCAGCCTGAAACACTACAGCTATAGATCATAAGAAGCTTACTCAGAAATGACCATATCAAACAGACCACTTTTAATTTGGTGCCAGGTTCAAGAAAGCCAAGTGCTCAAACCTCTTCTTGTTCGGACCATATCTCTTTGTTGACCTACCCCGGCCCATAAACAAGTAAAATTGAAGGATGTGTTTAGTATATAGTTTTTGAAGTGCCAAGCTACTAAAAACTTAACAAATATATAGTGAAAGCTGCCTTATGATCCTAGCCACAATTCGAAAGTGCACTTTGTGTGAAGATTCCTTGTAAACCTAATAGGCAAAAGACCATAAGGAGATAACCCAGCCTAGATTGCATGTATGTCATAGCTAATCAGTTCAAACAAAGAGGAGTTTATATCCCTAATCAGGAAATAAATCAAAGAAGTAAACCAGTTTAGGTTGTCTATTAGTGATTCCGCTAGAAGGTCTAGAGACATTCTCATAAGAAGTCAAACTTGAAATGTAAAGCCCTTGGACTAAAAGTTCTATAGTGGATACCCAACCTAGTTGGCACCTAGGTTCAATGGGACAACTAAATTATGGAATGGAGCGTGTCATTGTGGGGGTCTCAGACTCCCTTCCACTCTTCGCTAAAACAGTGACTCCCGCACGAGGCTAGCATGTTGATGCTTTAATGATTCGAATGTCGGTTGACATGTGTGAGTATGTGGGATACTCGGAAAAGAATCACCTATGTGAGAGAGAAGTGAGGGTCGCTTCGAAGGAGAATTGAATAGGGCTCAATTCTTCACAAACTCTTGCAGAACCAGGACGGTGACCCACGACCAAAACGGGCACACTCATGAGAACAGAGCATGGTTGGGAGGTTCCTGTGTGAGATATGTCATCGTCTACACAAACGGCAGTCGGTTCAAAGATATCGCGTTCTACCATACAACCAGTAGAGTAAACATGTCTTGCGGGCTAAGTTATGCCAACTTCCGGTATCATTTTTTCCCTGGTTCGGCCTTGGGCCGAAGTAACAGAAGGCCGAAACATGGCATGGCATCATGGTTTCGGCCTAACGCTCCTAGCACTTTTGGGAGGTGACAAATAAGGTTTTAAGGAAAAATACACTTCGCCTAACTCGTACAAACCTTCTTCCTTTCTTCCTCTTCTTTCTTGTTTTGGATTATGCTCTAAGCAAAAATCCTTTCTACTTTCTTGTTGATTTCTTGTTGATTGAAATTGTAATTTGGAGGATTACAAATTCCATTTCGGTTGATATAGATATATGTATATCTTTTTCCGTATATATATATATATATATATATATAATCGTGAGATCTGATTTATATATATTTGTGTGTGTATATATATATATATATATATATATATATATATATATATTTCGGACATATATCCAATAATATTATATATATTTCGTGTGTATATATATTAATATTATTACGGGATATTAAATCGATTTGGTTCATTATCTACAACAGAATTACAATATAGAAATCTCAGAAAATCTTCATTAAATCCTGAATCTATTAGGCTATCTGCATCCGTGAAATTTGGCCAATTGTAAATCATTATTATTATTATTATTTTTTTTGATGTGTTGCAAGGCTGACAGCCTGACACTGTCAGACTTGCAAATATTGCAAGTTTTGTGTCAGACTTGCAACACCATTGTTTGAAACATTTTTCTTTTTTATTATTTTAATTATTATTAATACTTTATTGATAAAAAATAATTTTTTTATTAAAGTAATGCGGAGGTGAGACCACTTTTGAAAGATAAGAGAGAATTGTAAATTTAGTGATATGACATTTTGAAAGTGAGAGAAGATTGCATGGGTGAAGACAACCTTAGAAGGTAATGTGGTTTGAGTTTCTCCCTAAGAATATCTTGGAGAGAGTGGAAAAAGAAATGGGTAATCCTTTAAAAATAACCATCAAGCACTATTTATACTCCCAGAATGCGCCAAAAACAATATATTTTATTCATTCTAGAATGTCCGCTCACAATCAACCTCATGCCATGGCTTCAATCGTGAAGTTGCAAGTTCCAAAACTCACAATGTACGTCAAAGTCGTGACGATTTTACTCTGCGTAGTAATTCTAATTTCTAAGTCATTTTTAACCTTGTAGACATCTGAATTAGACTTTGTGGTCTTCATAAAAATTGTAGCTCTTTCAAATAACTTTTCAATTTCGGTTGAATAGCTTGAATTGGTCATTCTATTCTTACATCAGGATATTATTAAAATACCGAGATGTCACCCGAAAGATTAGAGGAAAACATAATAGAATTTGTCACGTTGAGTCCTGATCTTCACTCCAAAATGCACTTTTGTTCATTTCCTTTGTTCCGTTGGATCTCTGGGTCATGCCATGATCATTGAGTATCAGAATTCATCTTTGTTAAAAAAAAAACATTTGACATATCAATGCAAATCTTATCATAATTGGTTCCAACAAATACTGATGGATCGCTTTACTGATATTTTTAGCAGATATAAACAATAAATCTTATCGGCATGTCATTCAACAAATCTATCAACATAGACCTTGGAATTCAAGTGTTGAGACCATTTTGTTGATGTCTTATCTTCTGATATTCATTGTAATCGAAAGAACTATTTAAGTCAATTATGACACATCCTCCCAAAAGAACAAATCTACTAGCAGATGTGATGAATAACTCGCATAAATAAGACTCCATTCTATACAAACATTTAAAATATTTTCACAATTAAGCAAAAAGTGCAATGTCAACACATTACATGATAACATATATTCCCAACTGAAAAGTACCCTTAAAAGAAAAGTCACTATCTTCAACTTGATCTTCCTTAGCTTGTAAATAGAATGAAATTCACCATTAGACTGGAGAATTTGAGATATTCCTCCCAGTCGCTTGTGTATGCGCTAGCGAAGATGTGCTATGTGCATTGCATAAGGATATTGAATCGGGATTACAATTAACTCACATTGGTGACCAAATTTCGGGGCTCAACCACCATGACTTTTCGTCCAAAATTTCATACGTGTAGATTTTTTTAAAGTCAGTTTTCCGTTGAATTACAGTCATTACGACCCGAGTTTTTACAATGAGGCCATGAAGATCTGGTCGCAAATACCACAATCTAGAATGCAATGGAGCATCCTAGTATTTTCCAAAGATCTAATAAGATGGTATGCATCCATTCTCAACATACTAGCCTAATACAGTGTCTAGAGTTTTTTTTTTTTTTTTTTTTTTTTTTTGTCACATTCTTTTGTGTGTTGTATGGGAGAGTTGGATAGGGCATCTAATAATGTTCCCATAAGGCTTTTTACGGATTTATATGCCAATTGTACATAATATATACAATGTAGTTACACATTGGCACATCGCCAATGATATAGAACATATCAAAAAGAAGAAGAATACATTGATAGAAGAGAGGAGGATGAACATCAACCAGTTGAACTGACCCCTCCCTCCCTAGAGTTTTTGCTTCATGTGCAAAGTTTAGATAATAAGTTTTGTGGTGTTCTTCTGTTTCTCTCAATCTTTATGCAACATTTAACTCATACTTTTATTGGAGTGAAAAATCCAATATTGCCTTTTGTCTGTACATATGTCTCAGAAAGCAAATTACTTAGAGATGAACAAGATTTGGGACTAAAGATGTGTTGTTAGGATCGAGCACTTTACTGGCACATTTTCGTGAGGCCGTGTTGGACTTGGCCCTTCAAGCCCTCACCCAACAGTCTCCCTAGCCACATAGTGTTGAATTTGGCCCTTTATGTATTGGATCCAGTGTGTGTGTGTGTGTATATATATATATATATATATATATATATA